ATAACTATAATGAATAACATAAGTGTAACATTAACTACAATAATAACTGATAACTGTAACAATAGTTATAATAACTAATGATAACTGTAATAACTAACAACTATGATAACTGTAACAATAGCTGTAATGATAATTATAATAGCTATAATGATAACTATAACAGTAAATATGATAACTGTAACTATAATGATAACTAACACCTATAACTATAACTATACCGATTATAACGATAAATAACAATTATAACTATAAATATCATGATAACTGTAACTATAATGATAACTAACACCAATAACTATAACTATAGCGATAAATATCACGATAACTATAACGATAACTAACAACTATAATGATAACTATAATAACTAACGATAAATATAACAATAACTATAATAACTAAAAACTATAACGAGAACTATAATAACTATAACGATAAATATAATAACCATAACGATAACTAACAACTATAATGATAACTATAATAACTAACGATAAATATAACAATAACTATAATAACTAAAAACTATAACGAGAACTATAATAACTATAACGATAAATATAATAACCATAACGATAACTAACAACTATAATGATAACTATAATAACTAACGATAAATATAACAATAACTATAATAACTATAACGATAAATATCATAATAACTAACTATAACAATAACTAACAACTATAATGATAACTATAATAACTAACGATAAATATAACAATAACTATAATAACTAAAAACTATAACGAGAACTATAATAACTATAATGATAAATATAATAACTAACTATAACGATAACTAACAACTATAATGATAACTATAATAACTAACGATAAATATAATAATAACTATAATGATAACTAAAAACTATAACGATAACTATAATAACTATAACGATAAATATCATCATAATAACTAACTATAACGATAACTAACAACTATAATGATAACTATAATAACTAACGATAAATATAATAATAACTATAATGATAACTAAAAACTATAACGATAACTATAATAACTATAACGATAAATATCATCATAATAACTAACTATAACGATAACTAACAACTATAATGATAACTATAATAACTAACGATAAATATCATCATAATAACTAACTATAACGATAACTAACAACTATAATGATAACTATAATAACTAACGATAAATATAACAATAACTGTAACTATAATGATAACTAAAAACTATAATGATAACTATAACTAACGATAAATATAACAACTGTAACTATAATGATAACTAAAATCTATAATGATAACTATAATAACTAACGATAAATATAACAATAACTGTAATTATAATGATAACTATAATAACTATAGCGATAAATATCATGATAACTGTAACTATAACGATAACTAAAAACCATAACAATAACTATAATAACTGTAGCGATAAATATCACGATAACTGTAACTATAACGATAACTAAAAACCATAACGATAACTATAGTGATAAATATCACGATAACTGTAACTATAACAATAACTAAAAACCATAACGATAACTATAGCGATAAATATCGTGATAACTGTAACTATAACGATAACTGAAAACCATAACAATAACTATAATAACTGTAGCGATAAATATCACGATAACTGTAACTATAACGATAACTAAAAACCATAACGATAACTATAGTGATAAATATCACGATAACTGTAACTATAACAATAACTAAAAACCATAACGATAACTATAGCGATAAATATCGTGATAACTGTAACTATAACGATAACTGAAAACCATAACAATAACTATAATAACTGTAGCGATAAATATCACGATAACTGTAACTATAACGATAACTAAAAACATAACGATAACTATAGCGATAAATATCACGATAACGGTAACTATAACGATAACTATAGCGATAAATATCACGATAACTGTAACTATAACGTTAACTAAAATCCACAACAATAACTATAGCGATAAATATCACGATAACTGTAACTATAATGATAACTAAAGCCCATAACAATAACTATAGCGATAAATATCACGATAACTGTAACTATAACGATAACTAAAAACCATAACGATAACTACGATAACTAATATCACGATAACTGTAACTATAACGATAACTAAAGCCCATAACGATAACTATAGCGATAAATATCACGATAACTGTAACTATAACGATAACTAAAGCCCATAACGATAACTATAGCGATAAATATCACGATAACTGTAACTATAACGATAACTAAAAACCACAACAATAACTATAGCGATAAATATCACGATAACTGTTACTATAATGATAACTAAAAACCATAACAATAATAACTATAGCGATAAATATCACGATAATTGTAACGATAACTATATAAGTGTCCTGAGCAGCAGATGATAGCGTTCGGTTTATTCTAAGTGTGAGCTGCAGTTTTGTTGTCTGCCGCTTTAAATCCTTGATAACAGCTGTGATCCGACTGATGTTGTCTGAATCCTCCTGTAATCGGACAGATCCTGAATTCCCTCACCGCAGACGTGTTCGGACACGAGGGAACCTTCCGTAATCCTGCAGACCAGATCGACTTCATCATCAGAACTCTCAGAGAGGGTAAGGCTGATGTGTGACGTCTCTCAGCTCATCCCTGATCGTCTCCAGTGGCTGTAAGCCGCGTGTTTGTCTTCCAGACACGACCAATCACGTCTTCCTGATCATCCATAACATCGACGGGCCCATGCTGAGGGGCGACAGGAACCAGCAGGCACTGGGGCAGCTGGCGGTGCTTCCCAACATGCACCTGCTGGCCTCCATCGACCACATCAACGCTACACTCAGTCAGTCTCACGCTTCAGCTTTAGGATGATGCTGATCACTCATATTATGGGCTTGTAATGTTCTCCTCGTCTGTGTTTGCTCAGTCTGGGATCAAGCGAAGATGAGCATGTTCAACTGGCTGTGGTACGAAACCACCACATACCTGCCGTACACTGAAGAGACGTCATACGAGAACTCACTGCTGGTGCAGCAGACCGGAGCACTGGCCCTCAGCTTACTCACACACGTGCTGCGCAGCCTCACGCCCAACGCCAGGTGACACACACACACACACTCACATTTTTTATATTTTATTTTATTTCAGCTAGTTGCAAAGGCAACAATTCTCATTTTTGTTTACTTTAACTTTAAGTACTAAAATAACAAACTAAATAAACTCAAAAATGAATAGAAAATATATGGATATATATTAAAATAACTAATAAGAACACTACAAAATTACTAAAACTGGGAAATTATAGTGAAAACAAAGCAAAAATAAAATCTAATTCAAAATATTACAATTAAAATAGTATCAAATAGTTGGTTATATGAAAATAGCACTGATATATATTACAAAATGTTATATTTTATAAATATATTTTTATATATGTTATACTGTTACATGTGACCCTGCAGCACAAAAGCAGTGTTAAGTCGCTGGGGTATATTTGTAGCAATAGCCAACAATACATTGTATGGGTCAAAATTATACATTTTTCTTTTATGCCAAAAATCATTAGGATATTAAGTAAAGATCATGTTCCATGAAGATATTTTGTAAATGTCCTACCGTAAATATATCAAAACTTAATTTTTGATTAGTAATATGCATTGCTAAGAACTTCATTTGGACAACTTTAAAGATGATTTTCTCAATATTTAGATTTTTTTGCACCCTCAGATTCCAGATTTTCAAATATTTGTATCTCAGCCAAATATTGTCCTATCCTAACAAACCATACATCAATGGAAAGCTTAGTTATTTTAAAAAATTGACCCTTATGACTGGTTTTGTGCTCCAGGGTCACATACGTCAATCTTCATATTTCGATGGCTGTGCACGTTGAAAGATGAAATGTGTTTCTGAAAGGTTGATTTTCTGTGTTTTGGACACGATCTTTTGTGCAAATGTTTTTTGGCTGTTGTTTGAACGGCTGTGGTGTTTGTGTTTAAGAGTCTTTCTCTCTGTGATTATTTGTCCGTTGTTTGGACTGAATTATTCTGCTTCTCCTCTGAACAAAACGCTGCCCATTTTTACCCTGATATCATGTGTACAGATGAATATATACACTTTTAAAGACGTGCTTCAGTGATTAAACCTGACCAAATAAAAATAGATATTTTCTGCTGATTAACAAAAGCGTTGTGTGGTGTGCGTACTCTATTGTTTTGTTTTGAATGTGAACTATTTTGCTGAAGCAGCATAAATTCATAGAGACAAAATATGAACAAATTATTTTATCAATTTAAAATATTTATTTGTACATTATAAATGTAATATTATACATGTTACATAAGTATATATATACAAGTTACATAAATCAAAATTATTTTATAATATAATATTAGTTATTACTATTATATAAATACTAATATTAGTATACTATACTAGTAATACTACTCATAATAGTAATATAACCATATATAATATTTAAGTGTAATGCCACTAATTCTATATATATGCATACAGTTTAAACGTACATTTATTATTATTATTAATCATGTTTTTTACTGAAGCAACATAAATTCATAGAGACAACATATAAATATTTTATTAATTATAAAGAATTTTTTTATATTATGTTATTAAAAATATTGTCTTTATTTTATAAA